CACTGACAGATGGTGGCCAAACTCCAGTGGGATGACTCGGCCTTGGTGGTGGACATGCTCAAGTCACTTTCCAAGATGCTCATGTGGTCTTTCCTTTCAACAGGAGGGGACTGCAGTGGGAGCGTTGCTTCGGTCTCGTCCTAGGAGGTCGCAGAGAGGCAGGGGGTCCCACGGCCTTGTCATCCTCATCCTCCTGGTCAGCTCCGTCCTCCTCCTTCCCCTAGTTCTCCTCCTCTGGGGGACACAAACTTGCCCAGCTTCTGCCTCTTAGACCAGCTGAGGCTGGGATCTTCCTCCTTGGGGAGTCCGAGGGCAAGGAATGAAGCATGCTCCCCGCAACCCCATCCCATGACATTCGGGACTCCGTGTCTGAGGGAGGCAAGTGAGGCAGGCAAGGACTGAGACCAGAGGGAAAGCTTAGGGCGAGCACCCAGTGAGCACCCAGTGGGTCTCCTGGAAAAGACATTTGTGTGTAATTACTAACAAGAAGCTACAAAGTAGTATCTGCAGAGGACACAGACATATTCTGCAGGCATCAGGAAAGAGCTCATTATTTTAAAAGACTTCTGATGCAAATAGCTATGCTAGGAAGGCAGAGAATAGCCCTCTAATTTGTCTGTTCTAGAAATCCTGGTTGTTCATATTTGAGATGATGGATATGTTTATTATCTTGATGGTGGGGATGGTTTCACAAGCATCTACATATGTCAAAACACTAACATGTGCACTTGAAATACGTACAGTTTATTTTGTGGCAGTTGTAGCTCAGTAACAAAGACATGGCAGCATTTAGACCCTCCTCCAAGTAAATAAACAAATAAATTCTTACATCGAGTATGTTTAGCAGTACATAAATGTTAAAAGGATACCGTGAAAGGCTAATTAAAATGAGGGGACTAACTGGGAGGCAGTTCTGTGTGTGAGATTTTGAGTCCCACAGATTGAGTTCAAACTCTAGCATCTCTGCTTCCTACTTCTGTGATCTTGGGAGTTACTTAACTTGCCTGTGTCTCAGTCTCTTCATTCTGAAAAATGGGGATAATAGTAGTATCTATCTTACAGGTTTAGAGAGTAGAGATAGTAATATGGATCTTATAGGGTGTCATGAAGTTTAAACGAGATATAAATTTTTATAAAGTGGCGTATAGTAAGTAGTCAATAGGTGTAAGCTAGGATAATTATTATTGTTGGGACGTCTTTCTGGAAGGAGTAAATTTGAGCCATGTTCAGTAAATACGTGAATTGAAAGGCTGTAAAGAAGATGTGGAAGGTTGCCACAGGACATCTTAGGGGAGGCCCCCGTGTGGAGGTAGAGCAAGGGGTGCAGGACCCCAGAGAAGAGAGGGATGCAGAGTGGGGTCCCCATGCTGGTCAGGCCCTGGCTCCCTTGGTAGCCTAGGTCATCAGTGAAGCTGTAGACGGACGTCAAGGATACACCAAAGCTGCTAACGGAGGGATTTTCTGCCTCTGAGGCTCCCCAGGCTTCTTTGGTCTCCTAAGGGGGAGAAGAAGGGGAGGTGAGTGGGTCAGTGGGAGCGGAGCAGCTCACAGGAAGCAAAACTTCCAGAGTCGCCCTGGCCTTACTCCTGCCTGTGTCCCGTCCTGTCCTCTTACTTTGAGGCTTGAAGGTAAAGACACACACTCATTCTTCCTCATCATCCCAAAGTCCTGTGCTCGCTCATGTGAAGAGACTGTCCCCTGCCTTCCTCACCACACACTCACAATTCTGTAGTCCCCATGTCCTCACGAAAGTGGTTGTCATAGCAATGAGAGGGTGGGTCTCCCTCCCCCCAGGGTTAATGGGAAGAAGACGATGGAGCTTAAGAAGAGAGACTGAGGTCAAATTCTGAAAATGGGACAAAGGCCAAGGGCATCAAGATATGGCAGATGTAGAATCCAGAATCCACCTTGGAACCTGCATGTGGGAGAGAGAAGTTTGGCAAGAGGCAGAAAAACAGTCCACCATCAACTTCAGGTGGCCAGATAGGCCTGAGATATGCGGAGGATCCAAGGACTTAGAAGGAACGCGTTGATGTCTGTTTCAAAGCCTGAGCTCTGCCTGAGCCTTCTGTCCTCTTTCTTTTCCCTTCCTCTCAGTCTGGGTGAGCAGGAGCCACAGTTTCAGCCTCCACGTATTTCTTCTTTCGCTCTACACCCTCCCGGGGAGAAGCTCATTCAGTTTAGTCTGCACACATTTCTTGATCAAATGTAAGTGCTGCAGCACATGCCTTCAGACGGATCCTAGATCGTTTTTGCAGGTCATAAAGGGTGTTTGGGGAAAACTGAATATGGACTGTGTATCAGAAAATAGTATTATACCAATGTCAAAATTCCTGGGTATGATGATGTTAATGTTTGGGAGGTACATGCTGAAGTACACAGGTGGAGTGTCACGTGCACACCTTACTCTCAAATGGCTCAAAAACTGTCTATGTGAGTGTGCAGTATATATATATGTGTGTAATATACATGTGCCTATATTTATAAAGAGGGATAAAACAAGTGGGCAAATTGTTAGCTCTGGTAATCTGAGTGAAAAATTAATTCACTCAGGTATTAATTGAGCCATTCTTTCAAGTTTCTATAGGTTTGAATTTTTTCACCCTAAATAATTGTGTGCTGGGGAGGCCAGTTATTGAGCACCGACTACAAGCTAGGCAGTGTTCTTAGCTCTGTAACTTGGGCTCCTTTTCCAGCCAGACCCGACTATTGCATGGTCAGTATCAGTGTTTTTCTTCTCTCACCGTGGCTCAGTTCTGGTCAATGACTACTTAAAGGGTAACTATTCAACCAACTTGAGGGGGCGTCCATGCCCTCGAGGTGCTCACGATCCAGGGAGGAGACCTCTTACCGCAGTGTGGCGCGTGCAGTAGCTGAGTGGGAGCGTGGAGCAGCAGCTCACCGACACTGCCAGTTACCCGCCAGTGTATGCAAGGATGAATGGGTGGCCTCAGTTCATTATCTGGAAGAAAACAGACCTTTTAGTAGCTGATCATTAACACCCACAGGCTCCAGGCCTGGAGGTGGGGTGTGTATGTATTCACTTTTTCCCAAAGAGTGCCTTCTAGACTCTGCCTGGAGCAGATACTGCGAAGTCTCTTTTCACAAAGAACCCTCCCCTTTTCCTTATTGACTTTCACTCCTTCTACTGGGGCCCTACTTCTCCCTGCTGCTGCCCTTGTAGTGAGGTGGGGGAGATGATATTCTGCCTCGTTGGGGGTAAAAGCAGGAGAAGGGTCAATGTATAAATGAGCAAAAGGAAGACATTTATTTTTTGAAAGCAGGGTGGCTATTTTGTAGGATATCTGGACTCTTGTGCTGAAGATATATTCCTTTTGGGTGCAGTTGAGTCTGAGAAACAAGAATGCCCCACACTTCACATTTTTCCAATCCTTAAGAAATGGCTATAGAAAACAACGATTTGGAAAGAAATGGAAAATCCTTCTACAAGCTGGTATTTCTTGAGTGTCTTCCATGTGCTCAGCATTGCTGTAGGGCCTTTGGATAAGTGTACACTAGAGAAATAGCACCTAATCATTAAGGTAGAGTTCATGGACCAGAAAAAATTAGACAAAAATATACTAAATTGCAATACTGTGAAAGAGCCATGTAATCTGGCAAAGCCAAGGAAAACTTCCCAAAGGGGATGAGACTAGAACAGGGCTCTCTGAACAAAGGGTTGGATTTGGATAAGGAAAGAGAGGCAGTAGGGTATTTCAGGGAAGCCACACACAAAGACCTGAAGGAGGAGTAGGTTGGATTTTGTGTAGAGAGGGGTGATTGTTCATAACTGGCGTACCTCCTGCATGCTCAGGCGTGACACTAAGCAAGGGGAAACAGACAACCAGTCCTCATGGAGCTCTAGCCTGAGAGGTGGGGAATGGAGATGCTAAAATGACTGCAGGTGATGTGAATGTAAGCCCCCAGGAAGCGGACACTTTATCTGCCCTGTTCATCACTATACCCTCAGGACCTACGTATAGCAGTGCCAGGCAAAAATTAGGTGTTCAATAAGTGAATATTGAATGAAGGAATGCTACAAAGGAGATATAGAATAACAGTGACATTGAGAGTTACATGTATTGAACACATACATGTGCCAGATAATATGCTAAGAATTTTATGTACATCGTGGTACTTGATCCTCTAACATCTTGAAAGTCCTATAATTATCTCATTTTACAGATTTGGGAATCAAGGGTCTACACAAGTAACACTTGCCTCAAGGTAACCTAACTAGTGACAGAACTGAGACTTAATCCATGACTGTCTAATTTCACAGTCCTTCCTTTGAACCTAGAAGCTACTGCTCAAAATACTGTTTGGGGAAGTTCGTCTGGTAGCTGATTGAAAAGTGCAGGGAAAAACCTAAGGTCGGGAGATACTGCAGTAAAAACATCACGTAGTAACGAGTATGAATCAAGGCGGTTCTGGTAGGAACGGATAAGAAAGGATTTACTTTTGGCCCTCAAAGGGCTTCTAAATAAAGCTCAGGGTTTGGAGACTTACTGGATGTTGGGATGACTAAGTTTCTCGCCTGGGAATAGAATGAATGCGGGTAGCCCTGAAAGAAATAGCTTTTCTCTAATTCCTAGCTACACCCTTCACTAGACATTCTAGAAAGATGATCCAAATCCCTAGGACGGCCAGTTTCGCAAACCACCTAATCAGGGCTGGCCACAGTAAGGGCAAGACAGCTTGAAAATCCACTGAAGAGGACAAATAAGAAAAGTGTGGAGGATGTACACACAGGATTGTTTTAGGAGCGCTCGGATCGCCTACGCTGGCTGGCACTACAAAGGGAAAGGTGGGGCTTGGCCCAGAACTATAACTCCCAGAAGGCATCGGGTGGAGCACCAAGGTTTCCGGCCACAGGTTATTTCCGGTCTTTCGGGTGCTGACGTTCTCTTCCGGTCTGGTGGACCCCCGAAAAGCTTTTGGGGTGCGCACGGTGAGTCCCCAGGCTCTGAGGGGAGAGTCTCATATCCATGCATCACCCAGAGGCCAAGATTTAGCTTAGGAAGGGCAGGGAGGGGGAAAGGGCGTGCAGGCGGGAGGATGTGTAATCTGGGCAAGAGAGGGGAAGCGGGCAGAGCGGACTGAGCCCTCGGAGGGACCCAGGAGGATGTCAAGGGTGAGAATGAATGGGATCGCGGTGGAAGGGTGGAGAGTGGGATACAGCGTCGTGGGGGAAGACCCGCGGGCGCGCGGTGGGATCCGAGGGGAGCTGGGTGGAGGAGGAGAGGAGTAGCGGGAGGGCCGCCGCCGTGGGGGACTCGTGTGAGGGAAGCGAGGACGCTGCTCCAGGTCTGAGATCGGGCACTTCTAGGAAAGCCCTCTTCTGACCACAGGGCGCCCTCTCGGAAGGCCCCACTAGTTGGGGAACATCCCGGACCCCTGACTGGAAAGGCCCCTGGATATGTTGGTGCTGACACCGATTTCCGAGGGCTGAAGGGAGAGATGTCAGGGGAGTCTCGCACAAGGGTCAGCTCTGGTGGTCGATAGACTTCTCTGCTTTCATACCATCCAAAGATTTGATAGACTTTTCAGGGAGGATTATCAGGAAGATTTTGGTGATTTTTAAATGCTTGGGTTGACAGCTCACTCTGCTTCTTTTCTCCAAAGATGAGGTTGCTGGCATTTGTGTTGTTGGCTCTGTTTGCTGTCACTCAAGCAGAGGAAGGAGCCAGGCTTTTGGCCTCTAAATCACTGCTAAACAGATATGCTGTCGAGGGCCGAGACCTAACCTTACAGTACAACATCTACAATGTTGGCTCAAGGTAAGGAGGTCCTGGAGCTACAGGTGGGGCCCTTTTTAGGATTCTTAGATTTCCCACCTGGGAATAGGGACCAGTAGTGATTGAACTTTGGGAGAATTCCAGCAACAGACATCATGGTGAATGAATATACTGCTGGACCTACTTTGGGGAAAGGAGGACATTCTTACCTAAGCTACAAGAAACCATCTTCCACTTTTTTGGGTTGTAAGAGTTTCAGAGTGGGGAAGGAGCAAGAACTGTGGTGAAACAGGGAGAGGAAGATGAGAAGGCAGAAAATGTATGATCCCTGTTACCCCAGGGGTATAAAGTTTCAGCTTCCTTTCTTGCATTAGCCTGTAAGCATTTTGGTTGCCTTTCTTGACTTTTATTCCCCTTAATTTTCTCTTCGATATACATCTTTCTCTTCTTCCCCTCCTTAAACACACACACATGAGAATAAATTGGGGAAAAAATGGATTTGGGTCTATTCCTTCCTAGATACTGGAGTATTTGTGCTTCTGAGCCATAGAATCCAGTCCTTGACCTGGATTCTTCAGTGCAGCAGACCCAAGTTGCTGTATCTATCTTGTAGTTCTGACATTTTAGGACATGCAGTTAGATTTGTGGATTGCTTTAATTTTATACCCATTGCTTACTAGCCTTTTTTATTTCCTCCATCCTAGTGCTGCATTAGATGTGGAATTATCTGATGACTCCTTCCCTCCAGAAGACTTTGGCATTGTTTCTGGAATGCTCAATGTCAAATGGGACCGGATTGCCCCGTATCCTCTTGACAGTGGGTGGTAAAGGCTGGTGTTGGAGGGAATGTTGTCAGCAAAGCAGCAGCGTCACTCCAGACGGTCTGGGTGTGCATGGCCATTCTTCTGTCAGCTCTCTGGATGAGATGAAGCAAGAAAAACTGGTGAAAATTATGTGAACGTGCCTTAGGGTATATCTGAAGAAGGAAGTTCCTGAAGTCCATGTTATAAGCCGTGAAAATGTACTATTCTGAAAAGATGTAGACGCTTTAGATGTTTGTGGCCGGGCGAGGATGTTAAACGTGCAAAAGAAATTTGGTGGGATGTTAGTGACGTGCCTTAGGGTATATCTGAAGAAGGAAGTTCCTGAAGTCCATGTTATAAGCCGTGAAAATGTACTATTCTGAAAAGATGTAGACGCTTTAGATGTTTGTGGCCGGGCGAGGATGTTAAACGTGCAAAAGAAATTTGGTGGGATGTTAGTGTGCAGGACCCAGTGACCTTTCAAAGACTCTTCTTATTCAGTGAGGCTCTTGGATCTACCAGTTACCTCCTGAGGGTTCTGAAGTAGATTTTTTCCCCCCTTATGAATTAAAGTATATTTAGATTTTCTGGTGAGGGTAAAGGTTCTCTTTGTGTAGTTCTTATTTTTGTTTTGTGTTTTCAAGAACTTCCTTCAGTTGTCATCAGTGAAAAATTTTCTGTGAGCTGAAGTGACTAATTTTTCAGCCCTAACAGGTGCTTTGAAAGTTTACTTCAAAAGCCTTGATGCTGAATTCAACTCAATAAACTCAATATTGAGTACATCATAGACCCCTTTCAAACTTGGCTAGGAAGACATCAGATTATACCAGACTTTAGACTTCAAAAACAGTCTGTAATTTTTATTGCAGAGTATATCCTAGGTCTGAAATCACCACATGTTGTCAGTTCTTCTTGTGAATGGTGCACGTAGTCTATAAGTTGAAAGGTTTTTACAACTTTAGTTTCCTCTTTTTCCCTTCCTTAACTCTTGGGCCAGCGCTAGCAACGTCTCCCACACTGTGGTCCTGCGCCCTCTCAAGGCTGGTTATTTCAACTTCACCTCAGCAACTATTACTTACCTGGCCCAGGAGGATGGGCCCGTTGTGGTGAGTTGCCCAAACCTGTAGCTGGATGGGGTTCAGATCTGCCTGCCTTTGAAAACCTTGCAGAAAAGTTCCAAAGCAGCCCCTAAATTCTGAGGAAGATAAGAAGGACCAGAAACATAGGATATTGTCCTAAGGGAGGAAGTATGTTTCAAACTGTGAGGTCCCAGAGTAACGCTATTGAAGTGGATGGAGAGGGAGTGGAGAGGGCCACAGCCTTCACTTCCTCTTCATTCCTTCTACTTCTCTGGAATGTGTCATTTGTTGCCCAGTTTCCTGCCGTCCTTGCCCTTCTAATCTGTTTTCTGTGCTGCTGTCAGATGACACCCAGCCTCCACTGTTTCTGTGTATTTCCTTAGTACGCTCCTTCGTATCACATCAAGGTCGAGCTTTTCTGCTACTCCTCGCATGCCCTTGGGTCTCTAGCTCTTCTCTGCCTCTCCAGCTTTCTCTCCCACTCTCCACCAAGACCCTGCATCCTGGTGAGGCCAGGCTCCTCCCTCCTCCTCTCACACTTGGCCTCTGTTCTGTGTTTGGAGTATGCTCCTCCCCGTCTCAAGCCCCACCTTGGAGCTGCATCTCCTTGTTTCTGTTTTCTGCTTATATGACTGCTCTTTCCTCCTCATTGTTTCAATAAACATTCATTCACTGCATCCAAACTTTTATAGCTCTTAGAGTCTATGTCCCTTGAACATTTAATTATTTACTGTCTTCAGTAGTTCTTTTTCTTATGTGTAGGTCTATCCCTCACCCCACCTCCCAGATTATTACAAACTTGAGGCCAGGGACTCTGTCTTAGATTTCTGTTTTCTATTACTGATAGAAACTCAGTAGTAAACAGTCTTTTGATTGGCCGGTGTAAAGGTCAGCAAACATTGATTGAGCCCCTGCAGTGTGCTAGGCTCTAGTGAAGACCAAGAAGATTAAGACACTGTCCCAGCCCTCAAAAAGCTTGGGTCACGAATTTATAAAGGCCTCTGACAGGACCATACAAGTGGGCTGTAGGCTACTTAGTGTACCGTAGGGAGGGGACTGAACAGAGTCACCCATAGAACTAAAAGAAATCTAAGATTCTCTAACATTCATTGTACTTTCTGAATTTTCTGTTATTTATAAACCACATGGAACCATATTCTTGGAATCCTAGTTATATTTTCACATCTGTGTCATTTCTGTTTTCAGAACCAACTGTAGGATTCTTTGCTTCTACCTGGTACTTGATAGGTTAAAAAACACAAAAATCAAAGGCTCAGCTGCCACTTTAGAACAAAGTTGTGTGCAGTGTGCTCCAAACACTTGGCCGCCACCTCAAGACAAAGGAATTTGGGCCAGACTCAGCAATCCCCTCCCCGCCCTGAGTAATGTACATTTAGGTAGGATTTTTATACTTTTCAGAATCTTTCTCATGATTTCTTTTGTGGCTCATGTCAAAGAAGTATTTCCACTTGAGGGTCAGGGAAATGATAAGGGCATGTCATTCCATTACACGCCTGGCCCTGAAGAAGAGCCAGCGGTGCTGAGCAACTCTTCCCAGAGTCTGAGGCTATGCTAGAAGGGTTTGATTTTAATATCAGCCACATACCTGGCCTGCCTTGTTTGCTAAATACTCATCATGTGTTTCTTAGGCCTCCTGGCTCCTAATTTCCTCATCTTCACAATGCATGGAATCATCAACTCAGACTAGTTCAAAAGCTTTTCCTCATCCTGAAGCCCTCTTAGGCCTTGGGGAACTCAGATTCTGCTGCTTAGAACTGGATTGGCTGGGACTGCCCTTTCTCAGAAGAGGAGGGATTGGAGACTTGCCTTGATGCCCTTTTCTTCTTTTCAGATCGGCTTTACCAGTGCACCTGGACAGGGAGGCATCCTGGCTCAGCGGGAGTTTGACAGGCGATTCTCCCCCCACTTCGTAAGCCTCGCTGTGTTCTCTCGCCGTTTCCCTGGGACGAGAACGCCCTTTTGGTTCTGGGGCCTCTGGTCCCAGGATATTTGTGTAGTTGGTTCTTGTCATATCGGTTTTTTGGTGTCTGATACCATCAGACAGCCATCAGATGCCTAGACTTACTCATGATTAGAGATTTTGGGCTGTGAGCTCACAATTGCTGGAATCAAAAAGCTGCCCTTTTTCTCTACTCAGCCTTGAGTAGAGCCCTGTCTTGGAGTCCTGAGTCTATTTTGAGGTCTAAAAGAGTATCTGCCTGGATTCAAAAGAGTTATAGAGCATCTGGAAGATTCAGTGGGAACTTTGCTGTGGTCCAGTCTAGGAGAGACTTTTTTGATGAGGAAATTCATTTATTCATCCATTTGGTGAATGATTATGAAGTTCCCCGTTGTGTGCTCAGTTCTGTGCTTTGCTTCGGGAGAACAGTGGTCAGTGAGACACAGTTCCTTCCATTAAAGATCTTAGCAGCTCATAGAGGACTCAGAGCAAGTCAGCGGGGGAAAGTGCTAAGAGGTCCTACACAAGGTGCCGAGGGGGTGGCACACAGCAGGACCAGCTAACCTGGTCCTTGAGAGTCACGGAGGGCTTTCTGGACGAGGTGAAGTTTAACCAGTCAAAGAGGAGGTAAGGAAAGGCAGGCACCCTAAGAAGAGGGAGTGGCTCAGAAGTGAGAAAAAATGAAGTGTAGTCCAGGAAGCACAAGAAGTTTAGCAAGGTCGGAGGGCAGAGTGTGGGGCAGAGGAGAGAGGGGGCCGGAGGGGTTAGGTCACGGGAGGCTTGACTGTCAGGGCTACATCTGGGCATCTCCTCCTCAAAGACTGTCTGGAAGGGAGAAACTTCCCTCCCAGTCTGGCTTGGGTCAGGTGAGCCTTTGGCTTCCCAGCTTGTGAGATAGAGTGGTCTTCAGAGAGCCGTTCTGTGTCAGGAGTGGTCAGAGAGGAAGCTTCCCACCCAGGTTCCGCTGGCCTGCCCCTTTCTCACTGGACTTCCTCCTTCCTGATCCTCTCCTGTGCCCGAATCCAGACCGCTAAGCACGGCTTTGTTGTCTTCCACAGCTGGACTGGGCCGCCTTCGGGGTCATGACCCTTCCCTCCATCGGCATCCCCCTGCTGCTGTGGTACTCCAGCAAGAGGAAGTACGACACGCCCAAAGCCAAGAAGAACTGAGCCGGGCTTCCACAGCCGCCCTTCCCGAGAAATCCAGGTGCTTTCCAGACTCCAAAGGGTGTCTCAAATGCAGTCTCTTCTCCCTTTGCCCTTGGCCACCTTCTCCTGTGTCCTGGCCTGCTCTGACCCGGCGCAGAGGACCAGGCCCAGGAGGCCGCGAGAGCCATACAAACAGGAACGCCGTTGGCAGCAGCCTTGAGCCTAGAGGGCCCTCTGGTGCGCCGCTGAGGTGCCGTGGAGTATCCTGCTGGCAACGTGAACTCCCCCAGAGGTCCGGGAGGGGGCAGTCAGAGACCGTCTGACACCCCCTCAGCCCCTGCCCTCCCCTCAGAGGAGGGTGGAAGATAAAAATGAAAGCTGTGGGACTCTTGGAGGCTATCTAGTCTCTGTTCTGGGTTAGGGAAGTGCTTACCAAATGAGATTTTCTAATAAAATTAATGCCACACTCACTGGTCCCATCACCTGGGTGGGCTCATGTTGCTTTTGGAGCTCAGGTGCTGAGCACCCCAGCTCCTGAGTTCTCACCTCTGCCATAGGGGTTGAGGGTCCTGTTCCCACAGAGATAGTTGCCCCCTTTCGCTACCATCCCTCACTTCCCTTTCTGTTCTCACCAGTCACCACCTGTTTCCCTGAGCCTTGCCTGTGCGCTCCTGTCCACAGCTAGAGGACACGGGATGCAGAAAGACGGTCTTCAGATCAGCAGCTGTTCCCATGCCCCAGGAGACATTCTGATCTGGTTTATTTACTGACTTGCTGAAAAGCTCTGCTATTCCTGGTTCTAGCCCTTCCTCTGTTTAAGAACTGGCTTTTCTTGAGCTTGAATTAATTTTATTTATTTGTAATTTAATTTTTTTCTTAATTAAGGTATCACTGATACACAATCTTACAAAGGTTTCACATGAGCAACATTGTGATCTCAACAGCTTGAGTTTATTTCTAATGCCTCTGCTTTGCACTCCTGCCAGGCAGAAACGCCTGGATGCCTTCGTTGTGCCCTGCGCGCAGCCTATGGCAAGGCAGTGGTTTCTGCTGCTGCAGCAGTGGAAGGAAGCCACTCTGGGCGGACTCTGTCCAACCCAGGAATGCCGTGGTCCGAGAACGGCCACCCAGGCAGGAGGGAAACCCAACAAACACCCGCTTTGTTCCTGCCACCAAGTTTCCCAGTTTAAATTCTGTTGGAGTTGGGGGTGCTGCCTAACCGGGTTAACCTTTCCTTCACCCAGCAGTCAGAGCCTCTGGGCCCCAGGAAGGATGAAAAGGACATGGAGACAACGGGAAGCTGCAAATGGAGTAGCCCTCCACCAGCTCACATCCCTCTTGCAGGGGCTGCAGCTCGGATGCCCCAGGACTGGCCAGGTCAGAGGGCGAGGAGGATATATTTGCCTTCGTTCATTGTGTTCCCGGTGGAGACCTGGGACTGGCTCAGGAGAATGGGGGGAAGCACTGGGTCAGAAGTTTGCGGTTGAAAACAAGTGCAGAGAGGGAAAAGGGAACTGGCGCGGTGAGTATCCTCGTGCTCACTAGGGCTGTGATGTGTTAGTCTTTGGAGGGCGGAACACGTTATCTCCCTCTGCATAGTCACTGAAAACAGGTGACAGGTTTAGAGGACAGGGTAAGCTTCCTAACCTGCTAGGTGATGGGAGAGTTCTTCCTCAGTCTGAACTCTGGGAGGCACTCCTTTCCCAAAAGCTGGGGCGATCTGTACCTTGCCTTGCAGAGCTCTGCACTTTGCATCCTGGCCCTTGTTATGAAGAAGGAGATGGGGGAACCCAGGCCTGACAGAGATGACAGGAGAAGCATTGGGCAGGCAATGTCACAAACACTTAGAAAAAAGGCTAAAGCCAGATCCTTCATCTCTGGAGAGCTCGGCTTCCTTGGAGTCAGGATGGAATTTGATCCTCCCTCGAGTAGTGGAACTGGAGAATACAAGAGGCTCTAATATCTAGACAGGAAAACTTAGCTGGAATCGTTGGCTTTAGGGTTGAGCCCTCTTAACTTCCTGGGGTAATTTAATGGGAGGATGAGCAGTGGACAGCACATTTGTGCTCTAATGCCAGCCACCCTAGGCAGCCGTGCCCCCGGCCTCGAGACTGTCTGCAGGTCTGCAGGAGAGAGGGCAAGCACTGGTCCTGTTTATATCTGTCCTGGAGATTGGCTTCCAAAACTGAGGGGCTCCTCCCCAAAAGGCAAAACAGATAGTAACCCAGCTGACAACATGTACCAGATCCTTACCACCCTGGAAACCAGCCTGCTATCCCTCCCACATCGTCCAGGCTTACAGCTGGCACCTGCCCACTCACACACCCAGCCCCAGTGCCAGGAGGAACCAACTACCTAGATTTCCACCCCCTTCACGTACTTGCGACTCTTACCGAAGAAAGTCCATGGGAATAAGAGTTTACGAGAAGCTGAAGTAATACAGCAGCTCGGTGGCAGGATGCCAGGTTACCAAGGCGTCATCCCCTGAGATCAGCTCAGCGTGCTGGAAGCAGCAGTGGGTCCTTGCCCCAGCTCTGCTACTCCCTGGCCGCGCGACCTCAGGGCCATCACACCCCGTCTCAGATCCTGCGTCTGCATCTGGATAATCACAAGATTGTTTCATTAGAGCATTTCTGAGGGCACTGCACCAGCAAAATGAGGCAGGTGTTGCTCCTGGGTTCTTCCAAAGTGAGAATGGCCACTGTCACTCATCCTGTGGTTGGAGCCTGGCCAGGCAGGAAAGAGCACACAGTTCCCATGTCTGCAGCAGCTGCCACCTTCCTCGCACCTACCGTAAGAGTTTTAAAGCAAGGACAGACCATGGATCACCTCCTCTAATATGCATTTAATACCTTAGCCAAGGGGCAGCTAGCATATTTATTAACTACTATTGGCTGGCATTTATGTTCCACTGTTTACACATACTCAGGAGGTCCAGTGTCTGCCTGCATGTCCTCTGCCTCAGGGAAGCAGTGAGGGTGAGTCAGAGCCCCCAGGAGCTGTTATCAGGGAGGGGTGGGGCCTGGGTCAGAGAGCCTGTGCCCGTATCCACAACAAGCCGGGAGTCATGAATGCTGAGCCTCTGGTCACCCTGTTCCAGGCCCTCAGCTGTAGCTGCCCTTGTCATCGCCCCTCCCTGTACTTTCATCACAGAAAATAGTCTTTCCTCCTCCCCCTTCTGTAACCTGCCTCTTAAAGGGACCAACAAGCAATTTTGAAGCCCAGTTTGAGAGAGGGCCAAGGACCTGCCCGACCCCAGTAGGACCTTGCTGTTGAGTACATTTCCAGCTGGGGACCTTTCCCAGAGAGGTCCTCTTCCTCCCTTCCTCACATCTACCCTACCCTCTCTGGATGGAGGCGGGGGTTTCCCTGGGATGTCAGGTTCTCACATACTCTCTCTGCAGAGTGACCCCAGCTTGGCTTCCTGAACCTGTTTCCCCAGGAGCCTGAATCCAGTGGCTGCCGTTTGTTCAAGGAATGCTGAGGACAGGGGGACCCCAGAATCCTCAGGCCCAGCAATGGCACCCAAGGGGTTAAAGGCCTGGGCCCAGGACTGTCTAGGATGTTTGAAGTAGGGCGGGGAGCGGAAGGGCTAGGGTAGTTGAAGAGGCAGCTGGTCTGGACTGTAATGAGTCCCCCGTCTCCTATGCAAACTTCTGGACCATGAGTAGTTCCTTTAAAAGGACTGAAAGACACCTCCACTACGGTGCTGGACTGGATTCTTAGAGAGGCTGCGTGAAGCAGGACTTTTTGCTAAATTGAAGTCCCCAGCTGAGGGCAGGAACAGGTCCCCCATCTTTGGTGTATCTCCCAGGCCAGGTGAGTTCCCCTCTTCCCCGGGCTCTTACCCCATGAATGGCCATTCCCCTGGAAGCAGAGCTCTTCCAGAACCCCTCAGCACTCCAGGAAGGCAGAGCAAGTCATAGCTTCCCCACCAGCCTCCTGCATTCAGCTCCCATTTTTCATTAGGGAGCACTATGTGGTGTATGTACGAATAGGGAATCACAGTCATTGCCAACAGTTAATTAACACTTACTACTTGTGTGACAAGTGATGCTAAACCCTTTATATATGTTCTTAATCTTCACAGTCTTATGGGGTTAATTAACATCACTCCAGTAAAGATGAGGTTTGGAAAATTTAAATAACTAACCCTTGTCAGTTAAGAGGTAAATTATAGAACTGAGGGCCAGATTCAAGTTCAGACACGAAAGTTCATTTTGGGTTTTTTGGTCTCTTTTTCTTAGGAATTATGGACAGGAAGGATGGTTCTGTGATTTTAAAACCTAGAGATGATAATTTATCCAGGATCCCTTCCTCTAGTGCCTGACATTGTTCCCTTTATCCTTGGGCATTAATTGTGAGATTGAAAGGGCCACCAACTCATGCCTGAGAGCCAGAGACTTCCAGATTCCAGATTACCCTAGCCATCAGTTCAGGGATCCTACTCTACCCACTTCCTTTAGCTGTCCCCTGAGATCTGATGGTTTAATTCCCTGGGACTCAGTGGCCAAAGTCTTCTCAGGTGTCTCTCTCTGAACCTCAGACCCTCTCTGGCCCCACCCTTCTGGCACAGCACCCAGAGTGCATGCCAAGGAACTGGCAGGAGGTAGAAGAGGGCTGATTGACTTTGCCCTGATTGACTTTGCCCCTCTCCTCCCTAGTTGCCACATGTCAGGGGCTATTCTGGATCCCAACAAGCCTCGTGTAGAACAAACATACAGGTCCAGGAGAATGGAAGAGGTTGGGGTCCCTGTGTTCAGTCTGCAAATCAGTTTTTTTTAAAAAGAAAGTGGTTACACTTGGAAGCCCAAAGCAGCAAGATTCCTGACTGATTCGTAAGCCTCAGATATCAAATAGGTAGAGGTGATTTAGGGTGGGGGTTTGAGATGCCTGATTCACTGATTTAGTAGGTGATGTTAGATTAAGGGGCTGGGGATGCCTGACTCTCTAGCTTTGAACCTCTGGAGTTAAGAGTTAAATACTAATAATAAAATTGATAACTCTGCCCCATGAGCTCCAGAGGCAGGTGGGTGCTACTCAGAAGTCAACTTGAAGCTGATTTGGGCAGAGGCTCTTGCCTGTACTTGTCCCTGTCCCACTAAGGCATGGTACCCCTGCCCTACTACTGTATTTGTGCATAGACCCTTGTGAGTCCCCTTCTCTGTGCCCAATACCTAATAGGTGCTACAAGAATGTTTGCTGAATGACAGGATCCTGTACATAAACCCCTTGCCTTTCCTTTGATTTTTGGAATCGTGATACTACATCGTGCACTTGACAGGACAGCCAGAGAAGGAGAGTGAGTTCCAGGACACCAGTGGTCAGCACATAGCAAAATCTCATGTGTCTCACATTGAGAAATAGAGCGCAACGCAGCCAAGTCAGGCGAGGCGGGGAGGTATTAGAGATTTGGGTGCTATGACCTGCGACAGAATGGAGTATCTGGGGAGCAGGGGTGGGAAGAAACTGATGTCTAGGGCCTTCTCTATCTGAGGCTAAGAGAAGTCCTGCTTTAGTCCTCTCTGCAGAACACTGTTGGATTAATGATTTACTTTCCATGGGAGAAGAAGCAGGTGGGTTAAATTTTGAACCATCAAAGGGTTTTCTATGACTCTGTCCCCCAGGGCTAGGAGACAAGGAAGAGAAGCCAGTAGACCATGCCATCTGGCCTCTTCCTTCCTCCCCATTCTTTATTATCTGGTTCTTTGGGTCTTCCCTATTACTGCCCCCCTTCAGGAGACTTAGGACCCCAGAGCCAGACCCAGAAAGCCCCCCAGGCTGTGGAAGGGCCCACCAGCACTGCTTGCAGTCTGCCGTGTGGGGCTGTGTGGCTGCAGTGCCCACCCCCAGTGTTTGCTGGCAGCAAACATAGGCAGAGCCCCACCTGTCCCCATCACCTCATTCAGATTTCTGAGATAACAGGGAGTAGAAAGGACAAATTTAACTTCTTTAGAGCCTACGTCTAATATCTTTTGGAAGCTGCTTCCTTTCTTTGGCTGGGAGGAGGGGGGCATGGGAGGTGGGGGTGAGTAACAATAATACCAGATTTCTTCCAAAACCAGCCAGCCACAAGCTGTCTTTGGGAGCTTGTCTTTTAGTTTCAGAAAAGAACTCGGCTCTATGGTGGGATGGATCTGCTTTGAAAACTGAGCTCCTCCTCCTACAGCTCCGTGACCTTGAACAAACTCCTTTACCTCTCTGGGCTGCCTTTTCTCCATACGTGAAAGAACGTATTTCATGAAGTGGCTGTGAAAATCCCACCCATGACGGAGGCACTCATTAGGCATTAACTCTCCTCCTGTAGGCTTCAGATGCTCTTTAGGAAATGGGTTCGTTGGGGTCTTCAAAGGCCCTGCTCCCCCAAGCACCTGGCA